CTAAATACATATAATTCTATGTAATCCTAAAAAAAATTAGATACACATCAATTTCTATCACTCCCTTATTCTTCCTTAACCCAAGAATTTCCTCAACTCTGAGCATACTGTGGATTTCTTGCAACCTGACTTACTATCTAGTACTCTCTATACATTCCAACATGCAGGATATAGGCCTAGCTACACCAATTATAACAGCCTATGCATACACTATTCATATTCAGATATCAAGTTATAGCTTACTCAAACATACCAGTGGAATATGGCCTTGCTTGCTTGTCTCATATTCAACAAAAGTCCTAACCTTGTTTAAACAATTAGGTTCCCAATTCAGATGTGCTAAATAGCAATTTTCCAAACCACTGTTTTACCAATATAATGTAAAATTATTAATAATGCATAGAGAGTATTTACAAATGTTTCTAATACACCTATGTGTAATTCAAAGAGATTTTTGTTTCTAATGATCATATGGTCTGGGTTCTACCCACATCCACCTGAAACTTGCCATAATGTTATGAATGGACTAAAATCTTTTGGTACAAATTGCTGATACAGCCTTAGCACCCTAAAAAAGGCCAAGAGACTTCAACTACATATATTCTGGCAAGATATAGCTTACAAACTTTCCTCGCAATTTCCTGATAAATAAATCACAGGTTCCTACCTGGTGTTCTCTAGCCTCTTGAAAGTCCATAAAGATTAAAATTGGTATATCTTGGCTAATTTCAAAATTTCATGATTCACCTAATCATTATATGGCAACTGAATAAAAACTCAAACTTTCTTATTTAATCTTTCAATATGGCCATTTATTTGGCTGCATACCTCAGAACGGAGTGAACTGGTAAACCTAGCTTGTTATTAGTTAACGAAATCATCTCTCTGGGATTCTAGGTATTTTAATTTGAGCAAATACGGATCTTTGTAGTTAAAGAGGGTTTGGAATCAATGAAATATCGGGAAACATTTGGAATACAACTACACAGAGCATTGCTATGATCTGTGTATTTTCCACTTCAGCAAGGTCCAACAAACATCCCCCAAATAAAATTAGAAAGACAAGAGATTGGCCTAATTTCCCTAGTTTCCAGGGAGGTCTATAGCATTATCTTGCCAGAATGGAGGTGGTTTGTTTCCCTTTGCTAATAGGCAAACCACAGAAATCTTTGACTGGAATTGACCACCCAAGAATTGTTAACCCTCTGTCAACAGTAATGGCATATATGCACATACCATGTCCACTGTGATTTTAATCTATCATTTGTGTTTACATACAGATAGCTCTTTTGCTTGATTTTTGGAAATGCTTTGAGTATGCTTTTAGAATTCTTAAAATTGGTAAATCTTTACAGAACAGACACACTTGTCAGAGATCAAGTCTCCAACTCCACATCACAAAATCTATTCAACAATCTAAGTTCCTGGGTATTTGTTACAGAGAGCAAAGCACCCTCCCAGAGACTAAGTAAAACAAAATTGATGTTTTATTTTTCAGGGAATCCAACGATTTCATCGATTCTCAGTGTTGATTCTTGTGCGAATGAATTGTTCAGGAGACTGAGTACCATTTCTCTATCGACACTCCTGAATTGTTAGTCCCGTTAGCAGGGGAGGGCATGAAGTATATCAGGCTTAAATATGAAGAATAACGATAAAAACTGCGTAAACCTAGCACAAAAACCGCTTAAAATGGGTCAATTAAACTCTATAGATGTAACCGCCATCTTTGAAATTCTGAGGGCTCATGCACCAGAATACAAAAACTCTATGGGAACCCAACCCACCTTTTGGCAAAACTCTACGTGAATTCACAAGTTCCAGCCTAATATATCAATTTTAGTTGTTGTGACTAGGTGTGCCCTTCAGGTAGTGCCCCACGGGAGGGTTGATGGAACCCCCCAGGGCACATTCTCTTCACCTCAGTACGTTCAGCAAGATAGAGCTGCATTCACACCATAAAATAATTCTAAAAATACCTTTACATCCAGAAACGTAAAACTTTCATTGCTACTTTGTACAGTATGGATTGCTTTGATTTTAATCACTTTTTTCATCATTTGGAGCTTCTGACAGGACCAGATATTAAACTGAGATGGTTACTAGTCTAATTATTTTTGTTGCCACTGTATAAGTCTTAAAAATAACCCAAAATCACAACGCTGGAAACACATTTTTCACCGGTGTTCTACCTCAAAATGAGTGGGCTGCTGAGGTGTCAACTTGTGTCTGGCGAAAGAAAGTGTGAAACACTATGCACACGATTTTAAACAAGGGTACAGATAAATCTTAAAATACGCAAATGAAGTATGATAACATTAATAAAAGACTTTAAAAGCATAAATATGTAACAGCAGACACTGATAATGAGCCAAATATCGTTTTGACAAGTGTGTAGTACTACACAAACTAGTTTGGATATCGCAGTAATAACTTCAGCATTCAGTGTTTTGTTATTCCTGGCAAGGTAAACAAGTTGCTGGACTTGGAATCTGCGCAG